CAAATAAGGGGTGAGCACTTGAGATTGTATGCAAATGCATGGGTTCACAAGTTTTATTATTAGCCACTACATAATCTTATGTTGAGTGTTTATTCGTTTTTAACCAAACAGAAAAATTGTTCGCTAAAAAGTGATTTGAACCCGCGTCATTGCGACTGAAGTCTCATTATGCAACCGCTACACCACCGCCAGGCATTTACTTTTGAATACTGTGAAAAAATCATAGATAACACCCTAAACAACCGACGCACACTTATGCGAGGTTACAGCCTGACACGTGAGTCGGTCGAGGACCTGTTTTCCACGTCTAAACGACGTAAGGTGTGCATCTGGACGTAAAGCAATGTCTTCCCAGACGTTGATATGACGTTGAATCTGTACCTCTGTCGCTGCCCTGCTTTATTTACTTGGAATCACCCTCTCTAGTAAGTACACAGTCTGCACAGTTTTTAGATATAGATGTATCATTTCCACATTGAAAAGAGTTGGAGACAGAAAGTAAGTTGTTTTCTCACGTATACGTCAAATTTGTTATATTTTGTATATTATCCATCCATCTTCTACCCTTTAATCCATTTCTGGGTCAGGGGGGTGGCAGTCAGAGATGCCACCCAAGTCTCATAGCACCAGCCCCTCACTGACCCTCTGCAGGTGGTGAGTCCACAGGAGGACGGCTGCTCTCTGACTGTGAGCATAGCCTTGATCTTTCAGTGGGGGCTTTGGGCAAAGTGGGGTTAAGTGTCTTGCCCAAGGACACAACGACAGCAGTCATCAGTGGGAGTCAGTGGAGAAGGTGTAGAGGTGGGAATTGAACCCACGACCTTCAGGCCTGAAGGCCAATGCTCTACCAACTGAGCTACTGTCACCCTTGTATATTATCTGTGTTTTGAATTGCCAGTGCATGAATCTATAATAATAACGGCTGGCACTGCTCAGCTGAAAGGGAAACACCTTTTATTTGTTTTTTAAGTTAAAGTTTAAAATATGATATTGTTTTTCATATTTCAAACTATTTTTAACACATTAGAATTGTTAGGTTAGACTGTCCAACAAACTATGTGTTAAAAAAGGTTAAGATTCTTGAGTTTTAAAATAATAATTCAATTCTAAAATGTAAAGTTACTGTATATTTCACAATGGTTTATAAACTGCAAATAGACAACAGTACTTAGTAAACTAAGTTTAAAAACAGGGAGATCAGCTTTAATATTTGGGACACTCCCATCATTTAGACACCTGTGATGTCATCAGTTGGAGTTGAGTTCAGGTGTGGGACCATGTGGGACCATGTGGGACCATAGGAGCACACAGATGTTACCTGCTGCAGAAAGAGAGTTTAATGTTCATGTATTGCTTTGTTTAATAAATGGATTTAATGTCTTCCCAGGTCTTCAATGTCAGAGACTTTCACTTCTTCTCACTGTGGCTGTTTAAATGAGCCACTACAGTTGTTACTTTTGTTATTGTTAGCTGCAAATATTAAATATCCATTCATCTGCTGGTAGCAAGCTAACCTGCGCTTGCAACTCTATTCAATTTCTTACTTTTTCTTATAAACTATATGTTAATTAAAATATATTTACCTTTGCTAATGCAGTCAATTTTTTGTGAAATCCATAGAGTATAATTTCATGATTGTTGCAATAACTAATGTTCTATGTGTATTCCTAATGTGTCATGTGTGTTTGAGTCTTACAGGTGTCAGACTGTGTTGAAGGTGTTCAAAGGTAAGAATCACACTCTCACACATTGATTGTTCTTCTGTATTATTATGTTGTTTTTAGAATAAACCATTATTTGGTGTATTCTCTTTGAAAACATCTATCTTTTTCTCAGATTGTTCAGCAACTCACTCAAGATGAGGGAAAAGAGCAACAAGGGGAAAATGCCCCCTCGGAAATGCGACATGTGTAATACAGGGTAAGTAGCTTTCAGGGCTCATTTGTGTCCATGTGCAAAACAAATGCACATTTGCAATTGTTTTTTACATGGAATTACTCCAATGACCAAAGCCTTATCCCAAGTTTCTCAGACAGAGTGTCTTCCAGTGTATCGAGCGAGTGCAATGCCAAGGTTTGTATCACATGGTGACGGATCGAGTGGTTTGAGGCATTAATAGAAAGTTATGTGTTGTTATATCACTTTGCCACATTATGTTGAAACTAAACATGTTCCACATTTTCAGGTGCTGTGCTTGGACCTTGTGATGAGAGACTGAAGACCAAGAGAGGACACATGTTGGAACATCAACATTCAATAAATGCATTCTTCTGCCTTTCAGATTGTGTTTTTACATCTGGGGAACCTAGAGTGTAGCTTGTGCCTGTTTTAATACTGATCCAAACATAGGCGCTACAATCATGTTTTTTTACTTTGGCATGAACTGTTCAGTACAGTAGTGTTCATAACACTGTGCCCTGTGTGGTTTAACTTGTACTTTGATGTAGAGAAACATGATTTTTAATGCCGCTCCATTTGCAATAATGACTGATATCCTTCT